ACACATATGCCTATATGCACACACACACATGCCTATATGCACACACACACACAAAGGTAGGGACCCTAACGGGACAAATTACCACCACAAAACAGAATAGCAAATGACTTGGCCAATCTATACCTCCAAAGGCTTGTAGGTGGTCTATCTAGGCCCTAGATAAAAGCAGACATCTGAGACAAATGGGCAGAGAGCGGGCCCAGCTGGCACAGGGGCAGATGTCATGGAGGGCAGTGCTGCACCATGAGGGTGAGCAGCCACCGGAGGCTGGATGGCACTCTGGGGGACTCATCTCACCCACAGAAGCCTAACAGGAAGCTTCAGGACCGGGGTAGTTCCCGCACTAGGTGCCAGCCAACACAGCCTAGAGTGTGGTCCCAGGGGACCTAGTCCCTTCGGTAATTGCATTGTTAATAGGCTGTTTTGAACCCGAAGGGATAGTATGAGAACCTAACGGAAGTAGCTGTGAAAGGCTGCTTGGCCCAAGAGAGCTGTTGAGGGTAAGTTCCGAGACCCTAGTCAGTCTTGACAGGGAAAAGACGGGTAAAGGATCTGTCCTGCTGGAGGTTTAGGGTAGAAAGGAGAGGAGGACACACCCAGAAACTACTGACAGCAGCCCAGAAACCAGATAGATCCTTGTAGCCAGGCATTATCCTACCTAAGGCCAGGGACAGGACAGCTTGGACTGCCAGACTAAGGACATGGGTGTGGTGTTAGCTGCAAGAGGAGGGAGGGCTTCCTGGAGTACTTCATAGGCCTCCAGGAAACGGGCAGATGCTGCAGAAGAACAAGGGTTGCCTGCCCGGGGCTGAGGTATCCCAGTAAAAGGACCATTTCTCCAGCAGCCCTTCACTTTGGGGAATAGTCAGTCCCTGCAGGTTTAGCTCCCGGTGGAAATAGCATCCCAGATCTCACTCAAGCCCAGACAGTATGACTCCATGGGAGCTCCCTGTGGCATTTTAGCCTTGCCAGGTTCAAAACCACACGCAGACGTCTTCCTGTGGTGCCCACTGCCCCCACTGAGATCTAGACATGGCCCAAAGCCAGGGAATGATTTCCACACATGGAGGTTGCACCCCACCACTCCATCACTGACTGCAGGTACCTCTGTTTAGAAGGGGGTACCTTCATCTGTCACCAGGCCCTGACCCAAAGCCAGAGACAGCAAATTATACCTAACACCAGCATCTGTGAGCCAGGCTCAGCAGGAGGAGTAGCGTAAGAAAGGACCAGGCCAAACTCACCCAGATACCCAGCTAGTGCCTGAAACAAAAGAGGATCCTGGGTGGGCACCCAAGTCCACCAGTTTCTGGGGATCCTGGCCTGGCAGCCCCTTTTGTGGCATTTATCTCTTCTGTTTTGGTTTCTCTTCTCATAACAGGACAATCCCTTAGGACCTGAGAAGCCAGTCACTGGGACAGGCCCTAGTCCTGGAGCACCCCCTGCTGGTTATTCTGGGAACAAGGCAGACCTCGGTAGTGCCAAGGATTAAGAAGGAGAAAATATACTTCTAAACAATATTAGCTATACACAAGATGCTCTAGAGGCCAGGCACTGGTGGTGCCATGAGAGCAACAGGTGGCAAGGGTGCCATGGTTAAAATAAGAAAACCTTTTCCAATGTGGCCATGGACAAGAAGCCCCATAACATATGCTGCAAGCTAGCTGAGCACCCAGACAAACTACATAGGTTCCCCCCAACAGCTACTGCCCTGTGTCACATACTGATGAGAGGGATGCTGAAGTAGAAGTCCATGCCCCATCAGAAGCCCAGCTAGGACACCATGTGACATACAGCCCAGCATACCAGTGTACCCCAAAGCCACAACACCCGAGTGACCCCAAGATTCATCTCCCCAGGCCTCTACCACACTGCCTCCCTCCCTCTGCCCATCGTCGCAGTCACCAGCCCCTGCTGCCAACCCTTCCACCAGGCTGCCCTGACCTCCCTTCTGAAGGCCTCATCCACAATGACCAGCACCCATCAAGGCCTGTGACTAAGAGCTGGTTCCAGGATCTCCAGAGAGACTTGTGTTCACTGGGCTTGCCAACACAGCAGACCCACTACTCCTCATGTTGTTTGGGTATAGACTCCCTGATCTTTGTATTGCTTGGGTTCTACAGGGAGATGGGCGGGAGCATCTGAGAGAACCCAGGACACCACTTCAGAGCCCTGGCAGTATTGATTGGTAAGGTCTAGAAAGAAGACCTTCTTTCTAGAAACTCCATTCAGGGTACAACCTTCATAATCTAAAAGTGAAAAACAAAGGCTCCTGCTTCCTAGGAAACATGGCAGGATGTCTTCAAGAGCTCAGGGTCAGTGCCCCGCCCCTCAGGGGAAAGCACCAAGGAAAGACTGGTGAGACTGTCTTCCACATGGAGAACCTTCAGGGGCAACAGATGAACAAATAACGCGGATCCGCCTATTGCGGCTGCTTTTCCTATGGCTGTGATAAAATGCTCTGGACAGACGCAGTTTATCTGGCTCACAGATCCAGGAAGAGTCCATCACAAGGAAGTCGCAGCAGCAGGAGCGTGGGGCGGTTGCCAGTGTCACGTTCCCAGTCAGAAAGCAGAGAGTGACATGTGTTCAGTTCACTTTCTCCTTTAATTTAGGCTCCCAGCCCAGGGCATGATGCCACGCACAGTGGGTGGGTCTTCTCACCCCCAAATAACATGCCCGAGATAGTCCCTCACACTCATGCCCAGGGCCCATCTTCTAGGTGATTCTGGATGTCATTGAGTCTGAAATGGAGATTAACCATCATGCTACCCAACCAGTCCAGGAAAAGTGATATTGTCAGTGCAGGTAGTCAACAAACGCTTGGGATCTAGGACAACTCCTTCAGGTTAACAAGAAGTAGAAGAACTAATTGGCAGGATGGATCCCAGCTGCCTAGAGGCACTGAGCAGAGAGGAGCCTGAGGTCATGCCAAGCAGAGAGATGTTCATTCTCACTGGTCACAGCCATGGGCAACACCATACAGGGTGATCTACCACGGCACACCACTGGACTAACTGACAAGGATGCCACTGGCTGGGGGAAGGGAGGCTGGGGAGCAGTTGGTATTCTGCTAAGGTGAAGGCAGGCATGCGTTGGAGGCCAGCATCACCTTCCCTAGCAGACTCCGTAGAGCATCCTTCTTGTGAACCAGGAAGATCTGTGCAGAGATGCAAGTCTGTGTGGAGACGCTCATTACTCATTCCTTCGGTGGCCCAGAAGAGGAAACAGTCAACATGGGAACATGTCACAATTCATTCAAGAGCTGGGCATGGTGGCACACACCTTTAATCCCAGCACTTGAGAGACAGAGGCAGGAAAATCTGTGAGTTCGAGGCCAGCCTGGTCTACAAAGTGAGTTCCAGGACAGTCAGGGCTGTTACGCAGAGAAACCCTGTCTCAAAGACCAAAATAAAACAAACAAAAATATATTCAAATGGCAAAAGAGTACAATGAAAGCCCAAGCCCCTTCAGTACAACATGGGTACATTTCAAAATTATAATATTAGGGCCAGTAAGGTGACTCCACGAGTAAAGGCACTTGCCACACAATCCTGGTGACCTGAATTCTATCCCCGGAATCCACGTTTAAAAAAAAAAAAATGCTTGCAGAAGCGAGCATGTGTAATCCTAGCATTCCTAAGGCAAAAACAGAAGGCAGAACCCGACGTGCCCAGAAGTCCATGGGCCAGCTATCCTGGAGTATGCAGGACATGGGGACATGTTGCAATACATTCAAGAGCTGGGCTTGGTGCCTCTCACCTTTAATCCCACACCAGGAGCCAACCAAACCTTACCTCTATCTACAAGGTGGAAGGCAAGAACCAACTCCCAAAAATTCAGAAGTTGCCCTCTGCCCGCCACACCCATCACATCCATCACACACACACACACACACACACACACACACCATCATCATCAAACAACAACTGTGATGTATGACACTGCGTGGAAAGAGATGTACATCATATACACAATGGTTTCAAAATTATAATATTACTTCTTGGGGGTGATTTTAAGATGCAAAGGGATACATACAGCAAGATCCACTTAACTCAGACTTAAATATACAAAGTAACATTTTATACACACACACATTTTTATATACTCTACCTGTGGCAAACATCTATGTGCATGTTGTAGGGTTATATTCACTAAATCACTAGTGGTCGAGGGAGGCGAAAAGGAAGGGTACTATATGGGGAGAGATACAGAGAGTACTTGGACTGTGTCTGTGTCTTAAGTGGATACAATCAGATGTCCTTCAGCGGGAACAGAAAAACCCGGAGTATACTCACTTAATGGAAATCCTAACCTTTGAAAATCATTTATGATCCAGAAATAAAACACTAAACAAAAGCACCTAAAATCAAAATAGTATAGACTGAATAGCCTCATTTTCATAAAGCTTAGAGTCATAAACTAAACTAGGAATGTAAACTCCATGATGGATTATTGGTCGGCACATGTGAAGCCTGGGTTCAATGCCAGTGTCCCCAAAATAAAAAATACCAGACAACCCAGCATGTGGCCTTACAAACTGCGGGAGTCACCCTAAGGAAGGGGAACCCAGAATGCGGTCAGTGGAAAGGCTTGGAGCCCTGCAACAGGCTACCAGGCTTTTATTTGTGCTTGTTTGTTACAAGTTAACAGAATATTCACTGGTTCTTGTGTTTAGAAATGGATGGGACTCCGGCTTTATCCTACTTCTGAGCTATACTCCCAACTTTGTAGAATACATTTGTCATATTTTAACAGAAAGGTAACTTTGTTGTTACTGCTACTGTTATAAGACAAAGTCTTCCTCTGCAGTCCAGGCTGGTCCTCCTCAGCGCTGAGGAGTAGCTGGGGGAACAGGTTGCACACCACTATGCCCAGCCCCAAGGTCATTTTAATGGGGGGAGTACCAAGGACTGTCATCTGCAGCCCTGCACAAACTCACCTAGAGGGAAGGACCACCGACAGTCATCTACCAGATCCCATGTGTGATGCAACCCTACCTTCAGGCAGCTGCGCCAGATGTTTGTATGCCTGGTGTAGGTTTTCCCTGCAGACTGTCTGGTGATCATTCAGCAGGAACGACAGGGCTATGATGACGCCATGCTTTAAGAAGCCAGTTCTAAAGAAGGGAAGATGGGTTTCGACGTCAGAAGACCATTTCAGGTTTTTTTTTAAAGTATGTATTTATGTGTTATGGTTGTTTTGTCTGCACGTATGTGTATATATCACATGTGGCCAAGAATGTCAGTAAAAAAAACCTGGAACTGGAGCCACCATATGGGTGCTGAGCATCAAAACCCAGGTTCTCTGCAAGAGCAACAAGTATTCTTAAGCACTGGCCATCTCTCCGAACCCAATTTTATTTGTCTTAACAGCCGGATGCTATTCTGTTGTGTGAATCGCTGCATCTTCATTATCCATTCGCCGGTTTATGGGCACCTGGGTTGTTTCTGTTCCCTGGATATTGTGAATAGTGCAGCACGGAACACGGGCGACCAGTTATCTCTACGGCAGGACTCGGGGTCTAGCTGGATTGTGTGGTAGATCTATTTCTAGCTTTCTGGGGATCCGCCACACTGATTTCCATAGTGGCTGCATCCAGTTTTCACTCCCACTAGCTGTGAAGACGTCTTCTTCCCTTACATCCATGCTAGCGTTTGTCATCATTTTTTTAATCTTAGCCCTTCCGACAGGAGCAAGTTGAAATCTCAAAGTAATTTTAATATGCATTTCCATGACAGTTGAGGATGTTGAGTATGTTTGAAAATGTTTCTGAACTATTCATATTTCATCTTTTGTTTGTTTGGTTGGTTTTGGTTTTTTGAGACAGGGTTTCTCTGTGTAGCTTTGGAGCCTGTCCTGGAACTCTGTCTGTAGACCAGGCTGGCCTCGAACTCACGGAGATCCACCTGCCTCTGCCTCCCAAGTGCTGGAATTCCATGAGAATGAGAACCATGAGAACTCTTTGATTGCCTAGTTTCATGCTTCATTTTTAACTGGGTTGTTTCCTTGGAGTTTAGTTTTTCTTTGGGGGGGAGTTCTTTGTATAGTCAGGCTATAACTGGTACAGAATGGTTTTCCCATTCTGCAGACTGTTTTCTTCAGAATGGTTGCTTTCTTTGCCGCATAGAAGCTTTCTAGTTTCATGAGGCCCCATTTACTAATTATTGGTCCGAGTGTCCTGATCAGAAAGTCTTTTCCTGTGCCAACAAGTTCAGGTATATTCTCTACTTTTTCTTCTATCAGATTCAGGGTATCAAGACTTACACTGAAATCCTGAACCATTTGGAGTTTTGAGGTAGGTGGTTAGGGTGTGGAATAAGTCTCTAGTTCCATTTTTCTACACATGGCTGTTAAGCTTGACTTGCTGAAGATGCTCTTTTCTCCAAAGTGTATTTTGACTTTTCTTTCTTTTTTGTCAAAAGTCAGGTGGCCATAGGAATATGTGCTCACACATGGGGCTTCCATTCTATCCCAATGACCAATATGTCTGTTCTTATGCCAGTGCAATGCTGTTTTTATTACTATAGCTCTATAGTATGATCTCTGAAGAGGCTGAGATTAAGATCAGGTCAGTGACCCTGCTGGACTCCAAGACCAGAGAGATCCGCTATGCTCTAGAGACCTGGGAGGTCAGAATCACAAAGCACTGTGACTTGTGGGGTGGCAAGAATCACGGTGCTGCCCTCCCGCTTTTGAGTGGCGTCTTGGGATCCGTCTAGCCTGGATTTATATCACCGCTTTGAGCGTCAGCGCCGCCACCGTGCAGTGGCACAAGGCAGCAGAAACCTGGAACCCACCTTGCCTGCACAGTGGAGCTGAGCTCACCACCGTTCTACAACTCCGGCTCCCAGGGAGAGATTTCACAGGCCTGGCACCCCCAGATGTCCCCAGCCCTTCCTGCCTCTCTTGCCTTCTCCCAGGTGACTTACGAGTTTACTGGCAGCCAGCTGCTTCCCTCCAGACCCAGGCTGCCCTCTGCACTTGTTACAATTACACGTAAGTTCATTAACTATTAGGTAAGCCAATTAGATAAAGAATTGCTTTTATTTCCTCTTGAAAGAAAACTTGAATACTACGTAAAAACTCAAATGAGTCTCTTAAAGTGAGATGACTGTAAGTTTTTCCATATTTTTTGTATGCAGATTATTTCAATGGTGTCTTTTTTTGATCTTAGTGTGCTTTTGAGAAACATACTACAAATCAATCTGGTGCTTTAACCAGAAGAATCCATAGGAAACACCACCTGATGGGCCCATATCCTAGTAAAGCCCTGGGACTCACACAGGCCTTGTCATTTGTGTTTTTAGTTAAATGGGCAACTTACAGGTAATACAGTGTTTCTTTTATTTCTTGACTATGACCTGTTTCTTTGAAGTAGCCGACAGCATCTGCAAAGGACTCTTCTGAGGCCACATCTGTCAGGGTGGATTCAGGAATAGATTAAAGTCATGTGTGAAGCTTTGGATGTGATACGAAGCCTTCTGAATGTCGGTATTTATAAGTCCGAGATGGTTGGCAGCTTGTCCTTGGATCTGCTTTCTTTTTCTGAGGTCATCTATACAGTGGCAGTGGTCTGTACACAGGGGACTAGAGAGTACTGGAAGTGGAACAAGGGACCTTATACAAGGTAGGCATGTGTCCTGCCACTGATCTATAGCCCTACCTAGAATTCTGCTTTTGATACCAAGTACAACTAGTACTCCCTAGTCAAGGGGGTGAGCTCAGCTACTGTGAGAAGGCACCCTGCCCCAACCACCACCCCAATCTCTAACCAAACTAACAAGGAGAAATAGTAACTAATAAAACTTGACGTAGGAGGGACCCATTTGCAGGCATTATATACTTCGTCCTCAGCATCACAGCAAGAGGTGAGACCCATTCAGACTGGGTGTGTGTTAATAACGGAAGGTGAAGCCACACTCCCTGTGAGCATCGAAGACAACTCAGGGATGGAAACGGTTTTGCAGATGTTGGGTCTGAACTTCCCACCTACAGCATGGGAAGGCCAGAACCAGGAGCTAACATAAAAACTAGTCTAGAACAGAACTAGGGTACAGCTCCAGAGTCCGGCACCTGCATAGCATGCATGAGGCACTGGGTTTGATCCCCAGTGCCAAGGAAAGGGTTTGGGACACAATTCTGTCAGGCTGTCAGAAGACAAACTGCCCTACGGAGAGGATTGTCATCAGCAAATAGAAGAAATAGAGAAAAGTTAGAGTGCTCAGAGTCGTGCAAGGATGTCTGCCCCTGCCCAGGGGCAATAGCAGTTTCTAACTGGGACCTTGGTGTCCACTAGCAGCTGCCCACCTGCCTATGTTATGGGTGGCCATGATGTACAGCACCTCGGTGGTCTTTATCCGCACCAAGTTATCATCATCCTTCAGCAGGGCCTTCAGGCTCTCCAGGCAGCCTGTGGACACAGGAAACCTTTTGAACATCTGCCAGTCCAGCAGATTGGCTAGAAATCAACACGTGACCTAGTGTTTAGCAACAGAAAAACACCACATCTGCACTTTGGGTTTGGGGAAGCCAAGTCAGTGGCACAGCGTTAGCAGAAGGGGTTCACAACCAGGGACCATTTCATGTAATCGCTTCATAATTCATTCTCTCTCTGTCTCTCTTCCCCTCTCCTCTCCTCTCCTCTCCTCTCCTCTCCTCTCCTCTCCTCTCC